CAGACTGAAACCCGGTTCTAAAAGCAGCCACGACAGGACACGTGCCAATGGTCTAGATCCCCCGAGCCAAAGGCAGTTTCTCAGCTGCCTAAAGAGCAAAACACGCAGCAGCTGACTAGTACGGATCAGCACAGAGCCGGAGTGGCCGCATTAATACCAGGCAAAGCGGGTTTCGGAGCAAAGAGCGTTACCGAAGGCAAAGAGGATTTTTCAGGATGATTCAAGTGTCAGTTCATCAAAAAGACATAACAACCTTGAATGTTTATGCACCTCGTAACATGGCTTCACAACACTCGAGATAAACCCTGCAAGGAGGCAAGCCACGCGCTGGGAGGAGATACCATATTTTGCCATGTATAATGCGCACTATACAGGGATTATTATACCTATTACTATACCCGTGGTCTGTAACCATTACACCCATGTATAATGTGCATCCTTATTTTTCCCTCAAATATTTGGGCAAAAAAATATGCATTATACACAGCAAAATATGGTATTTGCAACACATAGAATACATTTCTAGAACCTAAAGAACTCCTAGGAATCGAGAAAAAGCTAAATAACCTACGGGTAAAACATATGAGCATTTATTTTTCTGGAAAAAGAAATGCAGATGTCCGTAAACATATGAAAAGATGCTCGGCTGCACCAGTGAAAAGGGAAGTGCCAGTTAAAAGCAAATTAAATATGGTGTTATTCTCACCAGGTTAGCAAAAAAAAATGACAAGACTGACTATATAAGGATTAGTGAGGATGAGTAGCAAGAGGGACTCCACTGCTGGTAGAAATGCAAGTAGATACCACCGTTTTGGAAAACAGTTTGGACTGCTGGTTTGCCAGGGTTGTTGCAACTAAGGGCCACCAGCTGCGTGGCTTCAGCAGTGGGATTCACTGGCCCACAGCTCCGGACGCCAGGGTTCCTCCTGAGGGCCGGCACGGGGGAACAAGTTCCAGCCCCCTCTGCTGGCGTCTGGCCGCCCCGGCTGTTCCTCAGCTTAAAGATGGCGTTCTCTGTGTCTTCGTGTCGTCTTCCCTCCACACTTGTCTGTCCCTCTGTGTCCACATCTCCCCTTTCTATAAGGACACCCTTTGCATCGGATTAGGGCACACCCTCATGACCTCGTCTCAACTGGATCATCAGCAGAGACCCTGTTTCCAGGTAAGTTCACATCGCGGATCCTGGGGCTTAGGCCTTCCACGTCCCGGTTCAACCTACAACACCTGGTTCGACAGGAAGACGCCGGCACCTTCCTGCCTGGCCGCTGCGCCCCAGGCACTGGCTGGAGAGAGCATTCGACAGGAGGTACTGGTGCATACTTACCGTCCAGAAGTTTATCAGCAGGAGAACAGTCGGATAAAAGTGAATTTAAAAAAGAGCACGTAGCGGTGAAAATGAATAAATTATAGCCACACACATCAGCCTGGAGAAATCTCAAAAACATAGTGTGGAAAAAAGCAAGCCACAGAAAAACCCTCGCAGTTTAACTGCGTAATAAAGACCCGAGTGGTCGGTTCTCTCTCCCCCTTCAAGCCTTGGCTCAAATGTCATTCTCCCAGAACGGCCACTCTGCCGCCCTTCCTCGTGCTGTAAACACGCCCCCCCAACACACGCCCACATCCCCCACTTCTATCCCCTCACTCGCTGCACACTCCCTTGCCCCACAGCACTCGCCGACGTCTAACAAAGTATACAGTTGTCTTACTCAAGCGTCTGGTAGTTGCTGCCAACCTCCGCCCTCCAGAACGTTAGATCCGCAAGGGCAGAGTTTTGTTTTTTTTTGCTTTTGTTTATTGAGGCCGACAAAGTACCTACAATAGGACCCCACAAAGTAGGCACTGAACAAATACTTCTCAGACTGAGTGCTCAGTGCACAAACGCTCACTGATGATTGTGTTAAAACCAGGTGTACTCATTACGCCTCGCCTGTTGTATCCGTGATGTCTTATAAAAGTCTCTGAAGAAAACGGATGCATCTCTTGCCAGACCTGAGTGTTGAGCCGAGATCCAGACCCTACATGAGCGATGCCACTCCCTTAAACACGGGAAGGAAGTCAGGGTTTGGCTGCGTGACCCCCCCGAGACAGGCACTCTTGCGTGTGATAATGAGTGAATGTCAATGTCCCGACAAGACGCAGTCTTCCGTATTTTATTTCTGCTTGAGCAGGGTTTTAAAGCGTGCTCGTGAATATTTGTCCTGACAGCTACAGAAAGAAGTAAAACCACCTGGTAAATTTGCCTTGTGCTTTCTTGAGAAAACAATGGGAAGCCGGTAGCCTGTCAAGGCCAAAGTCACAGAACCAAACATGCACAGTCCCGGCCTTGACAAGCTCCCTTATCGCCTGGGAACACTCGGTAGCCACCGCGTCGCGTCTCCGTGACCACCCACCCACCCCGGGCAGGGCCAGCCGCCTGTTCCGGAGCCTTCACTGTCTGTACTGGCGTAGTTGGCAGGCGAACTTGGTTCTTCCCTTTCAAAATTCTTTTTGACGGTTTTGTGATCCCTGCACTTACAAATAGTTTGGGGACTGGCTCATTAGTTTCTTCCAAACAGGCAGGTGGGGTTTCAGTAGGGATGGTGTGAAACATGCAGATCGATTTGGAGAGCACGGCCACTGCTCTCAAGCGCCTGGCTTCGTTTTCCGACGTCTGACTGCGGGTGGCTGTTCCGCCTCATCCCTCCTGTCCCCCGGGGCCCTCCTGTCGGGACGGCACCTCCCACCTGGACCGGGAGAGCAGCCTCCTCACCGGTCTCCCGGCTTCTGCTAGTAATCCCTTTCCCGTTCCTTCTCCCTCCACCGGGCAGAGGGGCTCCTTAACTCACGAATCCGATTACCCCACTCCCTTGCTTAAAGCCTCCGGATTTCCCCTCTCCCTGCGGATGAGATCTGAGCTTCGGCCCTTCCTCTGGCCCCAACCCCCACCCCACCTCTCCTGCTCGGTGTCTGCAGACCTGCCGGCTGCCCCTTCTCCGAGCTCCAAGCTCAGACCCACCCGGGGCCCTCACACCGGCCGTTCCCTCTGCCTGTGAAGCTCTCCCCGAGGTTAGCTCCCTCCTTCCCAGCAGGGCCTGGCTTAACCGTGACCCAGGAAGTAGTTTCCCCGTTACGCCCCCTCGTGTCTCCCATATTTTTCTGGTTTATATGTAATTGCCTCCTATCCCCACTCCTCACTGGAATTCGTCCCCTTGTAAAAGGATGACCTGACTGTCCCATTGGACCTCCAGGGCCTAAAACAGTGCCTGGCCCACGCTCGGGGGCCCAGAGCACTTGTTCCGCATGAACAGGATGAGCGGTGACACCTGAGCTCATCAGGAAGCCCCCGCCCCCCCAGACCTGGGAGCACCCTGAGGGCAGGAGGGTCCTGGGCTGCCTCTGCCAGCAAGCAGAGGCCTGGTTCTAGGTTGCCTTCAACTGAGGTGCATTTTATCACTTTTCAACTCATCCATCATTGATTAGCCAGCTACAGTTTCCATGACAACCCTCAGCCAACTGGAATATCTCCTCATCCGCAACATTCTCTACCCCACCCTTCTTGGAGCACCTCATTCACCGCCCAGGAATCTTCCTTCCAGCCTTGAGCCAAGGGTAAGGTTCTAGGTGAGGAAGGGGAGGCCCCGGGGCTCCTACAGGTGGGAGTCCCGGGGCATCAGGACCTCACTGCGTTTCATGGATGAGTCTGCTTTCTGCTGGTATGTCAGGAAGGCCTAACCCGATGAAGGGGCCAGCGTGTGGCCACTGAAAGGAGGGATGGCTTCCTCCCCCCGCCCCCCTCGGGTCAGCAGGGAGCACTGGGGGCCTGTGCTCTGGGGTCAGAGCTTCCCCAGCTGCAGCCAGGAAGTCACCTGGCCGGGCAGGGGTTCCAAAGCCCTGATGCAGGTAGAGGTGTGCTCCCGGAAAGGGGCGGCGCCAGGGAAGCGAGGGAGGGAAGTTTGGCACCGAGTGTGGGTATGAGAAGATCAAACCCTCTTCTTCCCGGGCGAGATCTGAGCAGCCAGTGTTTCCACCGCGACGGAGATCCAAAGCAACCTGCTCTTCACCTGGCTTCGGATTCCAAAAGCCTCCAGGCAGGGAATCGGGCCTCACCTCATGTTCCTGCCTCGTCACAAGGCACATGGTTGAAAACGGACTTCGGGGACCTGGGGGACCCACTCCTCTTGGTTTTAGAGGTCACAGCTTCCGCTGTGGCCTCAACATCAAGCACCCCAGCACACAGGGTTGCCTGCACCCACAACTGGACTCTGACCCCTTAGAATAATAGACACTTGGGAAGGAGACAACTAAGCTACATTCTGCAGCTACTGGGACAGAGGAAAGACGCGAACATGGGAAGCGTTTGTGGAGACGGAGAGACTACCGATGCACACGCCTGGGCCAGGTGGACTCCCAGATGGCTGTGAGAGGAAGCGACACCGGGCCCTTCTGAGCCAAACCAGAAGGCGGGGTGGGTGGGAGGGGGCAGTGGACGGGACGGGGCGGGGCCTTCCGCACCCCAGACTGGCTGCGAGGCCGCGCTGCCCTCCACAGCCGCACGGCACGAATGTCACTAACTGTCCGAGTGTTCACCTGGGAGAGGGGCCGCAGGGGGTTGTCAGGAAGATTAAGTGACAGGTACAGTGCAGCACGCGTGGAGTGGGTGTGAACGGGCATCAGGCCCAGGGCTGGGAGCCGAGGGTTGTCCAGTTAAGCTGCACTTCTGGGGGACAAGACGGGCTGGGCTGGGCTGGGGACAGGGAGGCTGGGCCCCTGCAGGGCCGCCACAGCCTGAGCCTGCAGCTGAGGAGGGAAGGGCGCCTCGAGCAGGCTCCAGCAAGCACCCTCGGCTCCCACAGGCCCACCAGCCCCAGACCCACCAGCCGCAGGCCCACCGCTGCAGCCAGGCCCAGGCGGACCAGAGCGGCCCTCATCCTGCCTGGGTCGGGGGTGTGCAGAGCTGCACCCCTCCCTGCCCTCGACCCCAGACACAAAGAACACAGACGCCGAGGCCTCGTCCAGCGCTCTTTAATCGAAATGCTGTCCTCAGAAGCGTCCCGGTCGCACACAATGTCGGGTGGGCGTGTCAGCGTGTCCTGCAAATGGAACTGCCACGGGTTTGCACCTCAAACGTGTATGAAAAATAAAATATATAATATTTAGCTTTATAAATTCCCCCGCTTGATCGCTTTCTCTCTAGAAGAATCACTGCCGCCGCCGCCGCCCGATCAATGAAGCGTCCCCGAGTCACGAGGCATGCACCGGCCCGGTGACACCCGCTTTCCTGAGCCGGTTCTGGGGGAACCCTGGGGACGGGAAGATGCTCGCAGGAACCGGCGCGAAGGAAAACCAGCAAACCCCTCGCGGTGAGGTGAGACGGCAAACATGGGAGCCTGCTAGTGGCTGTTCTTTTCTGCGGGGAACAGGAGATTCCCCAGACCAGACGGAGAGGCGGTAGAAGCTGCAATGGAGCGTTTGGCACCAGTGGAGGAAGGAGGCCTTTCGGAGCCGCACTCAGGGACAGAGCGTCGGTCGGACGGAGAGGCGACACGGGGGAGGGGACGGCCACCACAGAGCTCTTCCATTCCGAGTCCCCCCCCACTCCCAGCCCCCTCTTCGGGGCCACGGCTGCCCCTCCCCCTCAGAGAAGGCAGGGCCCGGTCTGGGCGGCCTGCCCTCCTGGAGCTTACAAGTTCCTGGGAGGAAAGAACCGTGGGGGTGGGGGTGGGGGGGTGGGCAGCGGCCGCTCTGCTACGTGCTCTGTGGGCATCGGGAAGGACTCAACGCACAAGGGACACGGCCACTCCTGGGGGACAGCTGCACAGCTTGTAGAGGGGGACGGACAGAGGGCGCACACGAGACACCAAGGATCCGAGGGGCAGGCAAGCTGGGGGGCACTAGCATTTACAGGGGTTCCAAACGGGGCCTGAAGGTCTACAATCCCCCCCCGGCAGGAGGTCAGACAGTGGGGGCCCCTGCGGCTCGGGGCTTTCCCCCAGGGATTCTGGCCCTGCCCCCCCAACGACCAGCTCTCCGGTGGGGAAGAAGTAAGCCAGTCACACAGGCTGCCACAGAGCCTCAGTCTTTGGGGGGCCCCCCCCCCGGGGCCCGTCGGCGGGAGGGCTGCACACGGTTTAGCTGAGGGGGTGGGCAGAGCCCCGCCTCCCTCCCGGGCAGAGGGCGGGGCGGCTACAAGTCGAGGAGGCGCTCCTCACAGGTCTCCACGGGCCACTTGGAGGCCCCCCCGAACACGTCGACGTTGTTGTCCACCCATGGGATGACGTTGCCCGGCATGTTGGTGGAGCAGTTGGCCATGTTGATGATCTCCTGGGCACGGAGGACGCGGTCCCATATGTTGAACTGGCTGAGCTCCCCCACAAACGCCTGCGTGGCGTCAAACCTGCCCCCGATGGTGTCCTGGGGAGGGGGGGGAACCGCGTCGGCGCAGGCTCAGAGGCTGAGCCTCTGGGCATGCAACCATCTCCCGGGAGGAGACGCCAGCTCGAAGGGGGAGGGGGGCAGGATGGGGGGCGGGGAACCGGGCTATTTTCCCGACGCCCCCAGCTCTGGCCCGAGCGATGTCTTTTCTCCAACCGCCCAGTTTACAGAGGGGAAACTCGGGCTAGCCCGGGGAGACACGTGCCCCGAGTCCCAAAGCGGGGACTACACCTGCGTCTCCAGGCTTCCAGCCCCTCCCGGGGGAGGGGTGAGAGGGAAGTGGGGAGGGCACGGGCCCAGGGAGAGCCCAGCCCCAGCCCCAGCCCCTAGCACTGCTGGAGTCTGCTCCCCCGCTGGCCATCAGCAAACCTCCAACAGGACTGAGAGGTCAATGCTCACCTGCCCGAGGGCAGGCAGCCAGTTGCGATTGCCCCTCCCCCAGAGGGCTGCCCCGGGGCCTTGCTCTTTCCTGCCACCCCCCACCCCCACGGGCTCAGCACCCCCCAGGCACCCCCCAAGCACCTCCAAGCCCTGTACCGGCAGCTCCTGGAAGAGGCCATACCAGCCCCCAGCATCCTGAGTCAACACTGCCTGGCAGAGAGGACCCCGGGGGGGGGGGGGGACATGACCTGTCACCCCAGGGTCACCCCTGGTTACCTGTGTTGCACTCGAACCCAGAAACTGTCTGAACCCGCCACACCAGCCCGGTCCCCACCCTCAGCCCCTCAGGCACCAGACGGCATGAGCAGAGCTGGCGGGGACCTTGCCCGTCCAGGCCGGCGGTCATGCCGCCAGGGTCACCTCTGACAGGCGGACAGCTGGGCGGGATGAGGGGGCGGCCTGCAGGCCTGGTCCTGGGCTGCCCAGGGGGCCCGCACGCTCCCGCCCTTCGGGCCCCTGCACCCACCTGCTCCTGCCCGAGGATCAGCACGCCTCCCGGCTTGATGGGGTGCCAGGGGGCCAGGTTCTCCCCGGTGCCGAGCTTCTCCCCATCCTGGAAGGCCTCCCACATGCCGTCCCGTGTGGTCCAGGTGACACAGATGTGGTGCCACTTGCCGTCGCTGACAAACAGGGGGAGCTGGGCAACCTGCGGGTGGCCATGGGCAGGTGAGGCCCCCCGCGGGTTCCCCAGGAGTCTGACCTGGGGGAGGGGCGGCGGAAGAGCCTGGGCCCACCGCTGCTCCCAGCACGTGGGGTCCCTCCTGGCCTCCCCCTCTTTGCTCCGTGGGTGACGTGCCTGGCCCATCCACCTCAGAGAGACCCTCGGGCTGGAGATGCCACGTGCCATCAGACACTCAAGACAAAGGGCAGTGTGGGCACAAGCCCGGACCCCAGGTGGCCCCGCGCTCAGCTGGACACTCTCGGCCCTGGCTTGGCCGAGGGTCCCAGACACTGCCCTGAACAAGCAGGTGTGACGGGCAGCCCCTGCACCGTCCCTGAACACCCCCCGAAGGGCAGTCAGAGCCCTCCCTGCTGGGCAAACTTCCCCAGACGGCAGTCAGACCAGGCACCGCGAGGCCCCAGCGCCCATCGGGGCACCCGGGGACTGTGTGGGTGTCCCACCACGCAGAGGACAAGAGGCCTGCAGTCACATGGGCGTGTGGGAGTCACACAGGCTGGGGGAGGGCGCTTCCAACCTGTTCTCCGTCTACCCGCCTCCTGTGGGTGCTCCGAGGACCAGCGTGACTGCAAACCAGCCTGTTGTTACCGCTGGTGTCCTAGCAACCCCACGCGCCAACTCCCAGGAATTGGCTGTTTACAGGACGTCTGACGCCTAATCGGAGAGAAAACGAGGTTCTTGGCCCTCAGGGCAGTGTCCGAGGGTGTTATTTGGAAGCACGAGCCCCAGCGCAGGGGCTCAGGGACGTGGCCATGGCCGGAAGGAGCCTGGTGGGCGGATTTCCCGGCATCTCCCACTGAAGCGAGCTCTGCCCAGGGCGGTTCAGTGGAGGCAGGGCGAGGGCACCGGGGCGCAGAGGGCTCCAAGGGGCTTGGCGGCCGTTCAAACACTCGGCCCCGGCAAGGAGGGCGTGAGGGCACGGTGCTGACTGCGTGGGGTCTCCGTGGGGGCTGCTGGGGGTCCCGCAGATGCCCAGGCCCTTTCTCCTGGGGAGACCCCACCCCTGAAAGCCAGCCAGTCCGCTGAAAGGGTGCATTTGCTCTGTGAAAGGCAAGGCTGTGGGGACGGGATGGGGGTGGGGGGGCAGATCAGTGGTTGCCCTGGGCTGGGCCAGGAGGAGGAGCTGACTGCCACGGGAAACGAGGAAATCTGGGAGGGGAGGGGACGGAACTCTATCTCCTAACTGTAGTGACGGATACACCACTGCCTGCGTTTGTCAAAACTGGTCCAACCACTCAGTAAAAAAGTTAGTCAATCTTACTGTTTTACCGTATGTGAATTGTACCTCAATAAACAGCCCCCTCCAAAAAGACACGCTCATGAGAAGTATCACACGGACACGGGGACGGACACACACACACACACACACACACACACACACGCACACCCTCTAATCAGTGCAGCCCTGGGAAGCAGCCCTCACCGACTGGCCTGAGGGCCCGTGACCGTTCAGGCCGGGGTGCAGACACGCCAGCTCTTTCTGTTCCTTCCGTGACCCCTGTTCTGGAGTCCCCGCTTGGGTCTCCACGAGCCGCAGCGGCCCGCCCCCCTGCCGGGTCCCCTCCCCCTGCCCAGTCCGCTGTCCCCAGCAGGCCTGAGTCAGCAGAGTCGCCCCCACCACAGGGAGGACAGCCTGCCGCCCGCCGCCATCGGACTCCCTGCAGACTCCCGGCCTTCGCTGCCGCCGTGACGGGGAAGGCGGCGTCCGGGTGCGAGTCCGGGTCTGAGTCGGCCTCACCTTGTCGTTGATGAGCAGCTCGATGGGGTTGTTGCCCCACTCGATCAGCACTATCTCGTTGGCCTGCCCGGGCACCGCGTAGGAGAACGGGGTGCCGATGCCGGGGGAGGCGCTGGACCGCAGCCACAGGCAGATGGTGAAGGCGTACAGTTCGGGCAGCGTCTTCTTGATCTTGCCGTACAGGTAGTTTGTGCGGAGCGGGAGGGACACTTTGAACGCATCGGGTGACTTGAACGCACTGTTGCCTGGGGTGGGGGGGGGAGAGAGGCCAGCAGCACATCAGTTTGCCGCCACCAGCGAGGCCCAGCGTCACAGTTCACCTGGGCTCCCCCGCACCCCGGGGGGGGGGGTCCTTCCGTCACTGGAGCACCTGGACGGGGCAGCCACTGTCCAAAGTGCTAAAAAGCTCCAACAGCAAACGAGAATGGCCTCATGTCTCAAAGCTCAAAGAAGCAGGTAGGGAAAAGCTGGACTTAGTGTTCTGGCTGAATGAAGCCAGAAAACCCTTCCCCAGCCAAGTCTTATTACGTCCTTGAACTCCTGGGCCCTTCAGACCCCCCAGCGAGGGCAGGCGGGGTCAGGAGCCCACTTGACGGACAGGGAGGCAGGATGTATCACAAGGTCCCAGGCACTCAGCAGACACTTGTCGAGCAGTCGGCCCGTGCCACCTCTCACAGGAGGAATCACTGCCCGGGCAGCGGGCTCAGGGGCCTGTAAGTTGACACTGAAATTGAACTCAGCAGTGGCCTTTGGGCTACACCCCTGACCGGAGCTCATGGGTTGGTTGGTTCGTAACTTGCTCTTTCCTCTCCAAGAGAAGGTGGCACTCATGGGCCATTTCCTGCAGTCTGGGACCAGCGGGAGGCAGAGGAATGAAGAGGTGTCCCCTCCCCCTGCGGGGAACAACTGGCCAGACCCCTGATCCTTCCAGACCCACCTGGGACTGGCGAGAGCCCTCCTGGCCGTCCCCGCGCTAACGGTGTTTCCCAGGGCTTTGAGAACGGTTGGTGCTCTCCTACGGGCTGAGCGATGGTCACTACAGTTTAGACTGAAGCTCAAAATCAACAACAAAAATAAACACGTAGAAGGCAGGGTCCTGTCTCCAGTCACCAGACTCAAAAATCTGCAGGGTGGCCACCTGACTCCGTGAGCTGTCACGGCAAACGCTTCCCTCTGAGCTGGGGACCAGATGCTGCCAAGGAAGCAGCCTGAGTGTCCTCACTCAACAAGTGTTTATCAGGTGCCTGGAGCAGCCAGACGGTCTCCGTTGCCGTCCACGACGGGCGGGCTCCCGGGACCCAGACCTGAACCGCCCGAGCGGCTCGTAGGCCGAATCAGTCCCTTCCTCACTGCGTCTGCAGAACAAAGCCAGCACGAACCGCCTTCCTCGGCCACGACCCCCAACCCCACTTCCTGTCACAGTAAAGAATTCACCGGGAAGCTCTTTGGCGCCACGGTTCGCACCCATCCAAGGCAGAACTTCTGCAAAGGGCAGCGGCGAGGCCCAGGGTCCCCCTACCACCCTCCTGGCAACGGGCAGTCCAGAGAGGAAGACAAGCATCCGGGCTCCACATGTCGTGCTTCCTCCTCTCCGCTGACCGTATAGTCTCCCATGACCCGTCCTGACCGCCACCCCCCCCACAGTGGGACGCCCTCAACACACAGGCTGCGGAGCTGCTGGGCACCTGGCCAGGGCTGGGAGGACCTGGTCGCCTGGGGGAGCCAGGGCGGGGCCAGGCCAGGCCAGAAGGCCCCGCGTGAGGCTGAAGCAACGCTCAGAGAACCAGAAGGCCCCGACTCCTGACTTTCCAGGTGAACGGCTGACGCACGGAGGCCCCTCACCCCAGGGCACTCGGCTAGTGAGCGACAGGGCAGGGAGCTGCGGCCCCTCTTGCCACTACAAGCAGCCACTGGGATTTAACCTGCAAATGCCCGTGTTCTACCTGAAGACGCGATTATCTAATAAAGAGAAATAGCTTCCATCCTTGCAGGTGTGTGGGCTTGTTGATTTAATAAGGCCCAGGCTGGTGATGTCGTTAGCTTGGTAACAACAGATGGGTTTTATTAGAGCTGGAAGAGAGTTTGGGGGTAGAGGAGGGGGTCCGGACCCCGTACACTGGGGCCCTGTTTAAATCAAACGGCTCGGAGGTTCAGAAGAAACTTAGTCCAAACCAGTTAAGGCGTTAAAAAGGCCTGACCAAGAAATCAAGAGGCTGCAGGTGGCAGACAAGGCTAAGCAGGCCTGCTGCTTGAATGGTGAGGAATCAGGTGGTTTTCCGCACCTGTCAGGTGGGTTCAGCGATGACTGGGCAGCAGCCTCAGAGCCCAGCCCGGCAAACATGCGAACATAGCCAGCAGGCAGGGTTCTGGGAGGGGCCGTTCCCTCCCCCGGGGTGGGGGGCCTGTCCGCACATGGGCAAGAGAGTCCCGGGGCCGGCCCCTTCCTGCCTGCCTGCCTTCCCTCGCGCTGATCCCCGCTTCCCCTAGAACCAAGACAAGAGCTGTGGGGTCCGGAGGGACAGCAGCCAGAGGGCAACAGAGAAGAAACAAGCAAAGCCCTCACCTCTCTCCAGCTCGGTCACCCGCTGCAGCAGCGCGTTCAGGGCGCTCTCGGTCTTCTGCCGGTGAGCCGAGGTCTCGTTGTGGAGCTGGGACTTCTCATCCTCCAGCTCCGCCACCTTGCGCAGCAGCTGCCTCTCCAGCTCCCCCAGCCGCCGCTGGAGCACCTCTCGAAAGTCGCCGGGCAACGCGGCATTCGACACGTTCACACGGAGCTGGTGCTGTGGGTGGGGGCAGACGCCGGAGGGGGGGGCGGGGGAAGAGCATGAAGGCCAGTTAGAAATCGTGAAACGCAGCTCTGAGGGCCTCGCCACCAAGGGAGAGGCTTCCAAATCGGGAGCACTGAATCAGCCGTGCCGGTGGCACAAGGGGGAGCCGTTCACTGATGCTGTGTGTGTGTGTGTGTGTGGTGGGGTGTGGAAAGGATTTCAAAGTCAGACAACAATGACTTGGCTGCCGTATTTGAAACTTAGGAATCTCATCACCCGCCCCCCCCCCCGCCCAGAAATCAGTTTTGCTCCTCAAACTCCACAGCCAAAATGCTAACCCACATCTATCACTCTCAGGTAAAGACAAAACCTGATGCTCTTTTTTTTTTTTTTTAAGGCTCAGTCAAACGGCACTCAAAGCCGATGCACTTTCATCTGCAAATGAAAACAGCCCCAAGTCCCAGCGTGGCACAGAGGCGGCGGCTCGCGGCGACGTCCGCGGAAAAAGAGATATCTGAGGCAGGACCGCTCTGGAGTCCAGGAACCTTCGCTTTCAATGCTGTTTCCAAATCCTGCCTGCCTGTTTCCCTTTACTCCTCTGGCTCCCTGCTGGCGGCAAAGGCAGCCTGCCACTGCCCAGCCACGAGTCCCAGGCAAACTATTTATCCCTCTAAGGGCTCCAAATCGTAAAAGGCAGCTGCTTGCATTTGACTCCCAGGATTGTCGCAGGGGCTGAACACACTTAGCGTTCCAAAAATATTAGCTGTTATAAACCTTAATGAACCAAGGGATAGTCAGATGCTAGAAATACTGTGTTTAACCGTCATGCCACAGGAAGTCCTTAAATAGTTTCTGCAATAATTACCACCTTAATTGAAACGTAGCTTTGCTAATAAGTATTTTTGGTACACTTGTTTAACAGAAATGTCCACATCTCTTGAACAGGGTGGAACGTAAAGATGGAAATTAAATGAAGATTTCGCTCTCAAAGTTCCAACCTGTGTACACCTTCCGAGAGAGTGGAATAAGGTCCTTTCCCCCAAAGCAACAGGGCACCTTAGGGACCGCGCAGCTCGCGGGTAGACGTCTTTCAAGTTAACCGGACTCCCTCCAAGGCGAGTCCCAGTGGCCGGCGACCCTCCAGCCCGCGCTCAGGTCCCGCCCACACCCCCTGGGCCTCTCTACCCTCTCTGGGCTACCCAGACCTGAGTTATAAACGGAAACGCGGGACGCCAGGGGCCGCTGGTCTCCTGCGGCAGCCTCAGGTCACCCGGCACAGCCTCCGGGAGATTGGCGAGAAGAGAGCAGGCCGCCCCGGTTCGGCTAACCCGGACCTCGTTAAGCGAATGGCTGCCCAGTGGGCAGGGGGACATAAGGGGTGCAGGGTGCATTACAAGCAATTCAGTCCCGAGCAGGACCGAGAACTCACTCCCCCCCTCCCGCCCCGCTCCCGACCCCAAATCCAGCTCGCTCCCGCACAGCCTCGCGGGCAGGACCACGCGCCCCACCTCCAGGACCCCAGCGCCCCGCTACCTCGAGGCTTTCCAGGCGGTCCTTGAGGGTCTGCAGCGAGCGGCTGAGCTGCTCCACCACGTGGCCGGGGTCCCGGGGCAGGTCGCCCATGGTGTCCTTGCCCGTGGCGCCCCGGCCCGACGCCTTGCCGCCCGCCAGCCCCTCGCAGCGCGCCAGCTTGCCCGTGAGCTCGCGGATGGCCTCGCGCTGGGCGCCCAGGGTCTCCTTCTGCTGCACGACGGTCTCGCGTAGCTGCAGCACCGCGGCCCGCAGCTCCTCCTCGGGGCTCAGCGCGCCGCCCTGCATGGGCATCGCGGGCAGCGGGCAACCGGCACGCACCGCCTCCGGGGGCAGCGCCGTGCACACGAAGCGGCTGCCGGGCGCCGGGACGTCCTGAGCCGCGGCGGCCACGGCGAGCGCCACTCCGGCAGCCAGCAGCGCCAGCATCCCGCCGTCGCCGCGCTCACTCCAGCATCTGCGGGTGGGCGAGCGGGCGCCGTCGGGGCGCGCGGCTGGGGCGCCTCCTCCGCGGGCTGCGTCCGGAAGCTGCGCTCGAGGGCAGCGCGACCCGGAGCCCACGGAACCACCGGCGGCGGCGCAGCCGCACACTCCGCCCCGCGCGCGGCGCTCTGGTCGGGCCCGGCCCGCGCGCCCTTTCTTAAGCTGGTGGGGGGAGGAGTGTGGGGGAGTGGCGCCGCGAGCTCTGATTGGCCCGGCCGGGCGCGCGTCACGCGCGGGGCGGGGCGAGGGTTTCTTCCCACCGCGCGCCCGCCCCACACCCGAGTGCGAGCGCCGGCCTCGGCCCCCCCTCCACTCCCCCCGCCCCGGGTGAAATAAATCCCCGGGGTGCCCTCGGGAGCTTTGGCCGGCGTGTCCAGGTGCCCCTCGGACCCACTCGAGGACGCGGACATCTCGGGGCGAGGAGAGGCTGAGAGCCCCCTGGTGCCCCCGAGCCCCGGGCCAGGCTGCTGAGCTTCCGGTGCGTCGCCGCAGCCCGGGGTGGGAGTGACCCCTACTTCCCCGGGGAGGAAAGTGAGGCGAGCCCCGCGAGGGTCTAGAGCCCAGGACTGCCGTCGCGAGCCGCCCCCAGCCGGCGTGGGCCGGCTGCCACCTCACCCTGAAGGCGGGAAGCTGACGCGCGAGGTTCCTTTCCCTGGACACCCTCCCGGTCTGCGTCCGCGTCCCCGCCTTGCCAAGAGCCTCAGGTCCGCGGGGACCAGAAACAGGCTCCGGCTGCCGGCTGCAAGGAGGGGATGCGGGTGCACGTGGCGTCGAACAAGAGGCACGGAGTGGGGGCCAGGGTCCCACGGCCACTGGCAGAGCTCTCTCAGGTGTGTCCAGCGACAGCCCACCCGGTGATGACCTTATGCGGTGAGACCTGGGCTTCATGGGGTCCATTCCACCGCGGTCGTCGTGATCGCGCCACAGAGCAAAACAGTGCCCCCCACCCATGTGGGTGGGGTGCCCACACGTCCAGTTTCTCAGTCCGAGGCCACTGTCCTCAGATCCTTGGAGAGAACAGATACGGACAGAAACCCCGACAGGCAGGAGCAAACCTTTCCAAATCATGTCTGTGGCTTATAAACAAGTGCATAGAGATTTGGATGCACAGCTGCAGACTGAGCTGGCTTACTGCACATTACAGATGGAAATCCTTATTTATTTATTTTTCCTCTGTGTTTTTAAGAAATCCAGTTGCAAGGTCATTAATCACATTATCCATTATACCAAAAGCAAATGGATTTGTCGCCTGGGCACAGAAGCTGAGGTTGCTTCTGGAAACAAATTGTATCAAAATAAATGAAATTATTATGATAATATAAAGTAGGCTGCAGTGATTAATCTTCAGAAACCAAATTTTGACCTGCTTTGCACTTCAAACAATAGCTTCTGTTATGTAAATAGTGGGATTTTCAAGGACAATGTTGCTAAATTACAAGGAAAGTTCTATTCGTGGATACAAATTACAGACAGGAAGTCTGGGCTACAGAACACCCAAGGCAGAGGACAATCGGCGTGGTGGCGACGGTTCAGGTAAGCACATTGGTTGGTAGAAAAAGTATGAGGTGGGGGGGTGAACACTGGGTTAATGTCTCTGTTGGTCTGCGTCCCCAGCAGGTAGGAGTTTCACGGTGTAAACATGGCCTTGAATAGACTCCTTCCTCCTACATCTTACTTCAGCTCCCTGAACACTCCAGAAGTCCAAAATGAGCTCACACATACACAAACTGCAACAATAAAGGTGACCAAGTTGCAAAGCAGTTTATAAAATTTACATCTTAGACGGTTCCATGAGGCATTAAATCCAGACACGTTCAGAATTATCCAGATGAGGATTTCACTTTCAGTGTTCCCTCGCAGGTTTGACTTTTTTCTGTGTTCGCTCACAGACCTCGGTGGGTCTTATTTGCATCTGACAATAGACTGGGAGAGCCTGTATTGTTCCATACATCCTCTCGTGGCACAGGCTGATACATTCATGTTTGCAACGACCTGAAATAGAGGCTGTCTCCTTTCATAATTAAATAAAATCAAGTGTTTCCAGAATTCTAATTTCCTCCTGAACAAAGAAAGCAGTGTACAAGAAGACATAAAAATCACAAAGCAAGTGTCCCAAAATAATCACTCTTAAATTTGTCAAAAGAGATTCAGATGTGAGGAGTGATGGAGGACACTCCCAAAGCCCAAAGGGAAAGACTGGGGCATTTAAGATGTTGTTTTCTTTGAAAGCTGTGTAATGAGAGGGCTTAGTTAACAGCATATATGCTATTTGGGGTTTTATTGTGTCTTCCTAATGGAAAGCAGGCTGGCTTAGGGACAAGGGGGCCAAGTCCTACAGCTCTGCCACTAGCTAGGTAGTCCAGGGCAGCTCATTTCTTCTCTCTGGACATCCGTTTCCTGTGTAGAAGGGAGTTAGCGTGGACTCTCCAAAGATCCTTCCGGTTATGCTCAAGAGCTGGGAGTTTGAGCAAGCATCACTGTCCAGTGTGGAGAAGGTTCCAGCACCTCGTGATTTCCGGGTGTTTTGTGAACCACCTGTCACCACGGGGGAGGCAGGGTGTTTGTGTACACAGCAGGTCGACTTCCACACCCGAAGGTGCCGTGGCCGTGGCTGAAACCTGCCCTCCACCACAGGAAGACTCACCCTTGGTTTACTCGCAGCACAGCAGCCGCATCTCCCTGAAGGATCCCGCAGACCTGACTCACGTTCCCGCTGAGGGTGGCGACAGGAGTGGCAGAGAGCAGGGCCCACCGACTTTCCTCTACCCGACGTCCTGCTTGCTGGTCCGCAGCAGTGAATCAGCTCCACCTCGTCTCTTCGTGTAGCTGATGCGGCAGGCAGCGTAGTAACCACCCACTCATTCCCGTGGTCTCCTGGCTCCCAGGTCAGCTGAGAGCCCCGTGTGGACGGAAACCACGTGCCGGGAATCCTGATGAGCTCATTCCGCCTCCATTTGAGTGCCCCATCTGTTCGGTTCCCTTGTTCTTCGCACATGCACTTTTATCTCGGTCTCCTGGGGAAAGTGCTGACTTCCACCACGGTGTCAGAGGATCCCTTCTCCTACGTTCTTACATTCCCTCCTCTCTTTCTCGGCGCCTCTTGAAAAGTCAAGAACGGGGCGTGAGTTCCAGAAAAGATACCAAGGACAGCTCCCTGCAACGCGACGCAGGAACTGTCCTCGGTGCTGAGTGTCTATTGGAACAACTAAAAGGGTGTGGTGTGGCGGTTTTGTTTGTTTGTTTTTGTTGTTGTTTTGTTTTGTTTTGTTAGGATTCGGTGCAAATACAAAATGGAATTTAGAAGCTCCGAGTGAACTTTCTTCACTAGACTGAACTGCACTAGAGTAGAAAGAGCTTGAGCTTTGGAGTCTGGTAGCTTTTGTTTCTATCCTAGTCTGTAACTTGCCATTTGACCTTGAGAGGGCAGCTTAACCTCTCCCAGCCTTGGTTTTCTCGTATCTAACATCCAAGCTAAACTTACTCTGAAGTATGATTGTCAGGTTTAAGTGAGAGAGTGTTTGTGGACATGTTTAGCATACAGCAGGTGCACAATTGTCCCTTTCTCCCCCCTTTCTCCACTGAATGCAAAGCTAAATTATGTAAGTTCTTTTTAAAAAAAAAAAAACAAAGTTAAACTTTTTCCTTTATTTTCTACAAAATCATTTGAAATTAAGTAAAGAATGGATTCTTGAGGAAGCAAAAGCCAGTCTCTTTGGAGGAAAGGCAAGGGATGAGAATTTTAGAAATACTTACTGGTATCTCAGCAAAAGAAAGTTATCCTACTTTGTGGGTCTTTTTTTTTTTAAGATAAAGCATTGTGGTTTTTAATTTTAATTAGAGGACTCAGTCAAACTATTTTATGTCTACATTAACTCAGAGTATATCACTAGCCTGTGTACCCAGACCCCACTAAAAGATCTGTAGTCCTTAACATTTCAGAGATTCTGAGTTTGTATTGCAATGAGATCCCAATAGATATAACACCCCCAAATAAAGCAAATGTGCTTTCTTCAGTGAATCTGGGTTCTTCCTGAGTCACACATTTCAGGCTTAATTTTGGGAGGATGTGACATGAGACATTGAGTTGTAGGGAGTTTTCCTGTACAATTATATGACCACATGTGGCTGGGAAGATATAATGCTAGCCACATGGTGGGGGGGATTGACTGTTAATATTACCCAACCTATTTCAACAAACTTTTGGTAGCGTCCTCTGATTTCAAGCAATAGAACAAGTTGCTGGGTAGGTCGGGTATAATATCTTAGCTCTGTTTTTAAAAGTAAAGGATAGTAGACTGGGGCTGGGAGGAGGCTGGAGGAAGGGACCTCATTAACTCGGCTTGCTTGGAGGAATACTCTAAGAATGTAGTCTCAATTTCTCTGCATTAGGAAGCACTTAGAAGGTACCTTGCCTTTATGCAAGTGACAAGCAGCGAAATTGGCCTGTATCTAATAAAAACTTGTAGCTTAATATCTCTGTATAGTTCAGGCACACAGGTGGCTTGCTTGAATCTTTAAAGGTGAGCGCTGCAGGAATTTTGAAGACTAGGAAAGAGTTTCATAAAGGGCCAAACTGGATCTGAGCTTCTCTGGGTCTCAGCGGAGGGTTCTTATCTCTGTGCTGCTTCCTAACTTGACCACTATTATGCCCTCGTAAATGCCTGGTGTGGTCAAAAACGGCTTTCTTTAACATTAACAACTCCCCACACCAAATCCAATAGTCATTCTCCTATAATTCTCCTAGAATCCGTGACAGAATTCAACATTGTTAGCTAATTATTAAAGATTTGCATTATTGGTTTCTATGACATTGTATTCTTTTGGTTTTCTTTCTTGCTTTCTGTTTTTTTTTTTTTTCCTTCTCTGGATCTTTCTTTGTTGCCTCCTTTCTCAGCGCCTGGGCCCAAGGTTGAGTTACCGTAGCTCTCTCCTTTCTCTCACTACACTCTCTACATTACCAG